AGCCTGCTTCTCCCTCCCCCACTCCCCCTGCTGTGTTCCCTCTCTCACTGTGTTTCCCTCTGTCAAATACATAAATAAAATCTTTAAAAACAAACAAAAAAAAGGATCACAAAACTCTTGAGCTCCTGCTGGGCATGTGGCCACCCAGCCAGAGACCGGATTTCCCAGGCTCCCTGGCATCTAGGAGTGACCATGCATCCAGGTTGCCAAAGGGATGTAGGCCTGAGTGATAGGTACAATTTCTGAGTCTCATCTTCCAAACAGTCTGGCATGCCCACCCACCTCTTCCCCAATTCCCATGGGCTGGAACACAGCCATGGTCACAGGAGCTGCCTTCCGCACAGAGAAGGCAGATAACACCCTAGAGGCTGGCATAGGAAAGGATTAAGACAGGAAATACTTGGGTCTGTAGATGACTTCACGGGCAAAGCACACCTACGTGGACCATCTACCTCTGGACTCTCATGTGAGGGAGAAGGACGGAGGGAAACAGAGTCACAGCTTATTTAACCTTCTGTATTTTTGGATTTCTCTATTATAGCAATTTAGTCTATCTCAACAAATTCAGGAGCCACTATAAAGGATGTACTGAAGTTCATTCAAAGCCTCTGTGCCACGCTAAAATCAGCGGTGCTCTCTTGTAGGCGTGTGTGTGCATCACCCAGTCAGCACCTGTTGTGCTCCAGGCACTGTGTCACCTGCTCAGCAGGGCACAGCACAGATGGGGTCCCAGCCTTCACGGCGTTTCTATTCCAGTTATGGGGTGGGAGCGTGGGAAGAGACAGACACAGGCTTAGATTGCTAAGGCTATGAGATGGGGTAACTGGTGGAGGGCTGAAAGGATGGTTAGGGAGGAGGTGACATTTGAGATGCGATCTTATGGAATGGTGTAGGCTGGGGTTCCAGGAAGAGGGGACAGCAATCACAAGGCACTAAAGCAGGACAAAGCTCGGCTTGCTTGTTCATCAGAAAGAAACAGTGGCTAGAGTGCTGGGAGGCAGGGCAGTGGGGCCCAAGGGAAGAGAGCCAAGCCAAGGGCCTTAGAAGCCAGGAGAGGGAGTTTAGATCTTTACCTGCAGGAGATGAGATGCCATTAGAAGGCTCTATGTAGGAAAGTGACACGAAGGGATTTATACCATAACTGGACCCCTGCGGCTACTGATGTGAGCTTGTAGGGAAAGGGCCAAGGATGGGACAGCAGCTGGGATGCTGGAGGCAGATGAGGGCATCAGGACCATGGTGGTGGCAGTGGAGAAGTGGAGTAGAGGTGTATTTGAACACAGCATTGTCAGGATGTGGGTGGGCCCAGGTGGGGGCGGGTGTGACTGAAGGAAGACTCCTAGGCTGGTGACTAGAAAAAACTGGTGGATAACTGGAATCTTATTTTGAGATGGAGAAGATGAGGACAGGAACAGGTCTGGGGGACAGAGGAGCTGTGGGGACTTGACTGGTGAGTATCTGATATTTGCCCTCAAATGATAGTCTCACTGTCCCAATTTGCTTCTGGAGAAAAGCATTATGTGACATCAGCATCAAGTTTGGCCATAACACAGTAAACAAAATACATGGGGTTCACACTGAACTCATAATGGATGCTCAGGCCTTTGAAGGAATTACTAATGGAAAAGAAAAAACCTTAAAATGTCCTGAGGGAGGGCAATGGAAGGGAAGTAAAGAGCCCAGTTCTCTGTCTGTTTCCTAGGCTGAAGTTCCATTTATGACTTTGGCTAAAAAAAAGAGTGGATTAAAAACAAAGCTTGAGGGGCGCCTGGGTGGCTCAGTTGGTTAAAAACAAACCTTGGGACGCCTGGGTGGCTCAGTCATTAAGTGTCTGCCTTCGGCGTAGGTCATGATCCCAGAGTCCTGGGATCGAGTCCCACGTCGGGCTCCCTGCTCAGCAGGGAGTCTGCTTCTCCCTCTGCCTGCTCTGACTGCTGCTCCCTCTGCTTGCGCTCCTTCTCTGACAAATAAATAAATAAAATCTTTAAAAATAAATACATACATACATACATACCTTAAACTTAGTAGTAAACTTAGACTCAAGGGAAAGGACACGGTGTGTTGCATGGCAAACCACCAATGTCACAAATATTTATTAGGGGCTGGGTGCCAGACCCCATGTCAGGTACTGTGGGGTAACAAAAACAAGGTGTAACTGCCCTTGAGGAACTTACACTTTAGCTGGGGGGCCAAGACAATGAATATATAAAAGAATATTATGTGGTCCAAATTATAACTCGGGCAGGAATTCAGTGAAAGAACAGCTTGCCCAGAGCATCCAGCCAGCACCTTATGACTCCTGCCTCAGGGCCACTTCCAGTTTCCTGTGGGGCCCGTGCTACTAGTCATCACCAGCAAAAAGGGAACCAGCGCACAGTCTGCTCTAGCTATCGCCTCCAACACCCGGGGCTCTTGCCCAGTGCCCTTCCGCAGTGGCCAGCAGCCATCTGCATGAGAAACAGATGGGGGTGGGGGGGGTGGGAGGGGTCTCAGAAGGCTTCACAAAACACTCTTCATTTGATGATGATTAACCCGAGCCTTTGCTTTTCATCCAGTAGAAAGCCAGTCATTTGTCCTGATGTGCCAAAGAAAGCAGCCGACCCCAACCCCACTTGTATTTGTCTCTAAATTATTATTTTTTTAAAGGCAGCATGCTCCTTCCCAGAAGCAATGCTCTTGTGGCACACAGCAGCAGGAAAAAGAATCTTCTACATAGAAGTATAAAGCCGAGGGGCTCCTGGATGGCTCAGTCGGTTAAGCGTCTGCCTTTGACTCAGATCATGACCTCAGGGTCCTGGAATCAAGCCCCATGTCGGGCTTCCTACTCATCGGGGAGCCTGCTTCTCCCTCTGCCCTTCTCCCTGCTCATGGGCACATGCCTGCTCTCTCTCTCAAATAATAAAATCTTAAAAAAAAAAAAAAGTAGGGGCGCCTAGGTAGCTCAGTTGGTTGAGCGACTGCCTTCGGCTCAGGTCATGATCCTGGAGTCCCTGGATCGAGTCCCGCATCGGGCTCCCTGCTCGGC